CTTGAGAAACCAAAAAGTCTGAATCCCTTTGTTCATGGATAAGGAAACAGAATTATAACAGAATCATGTCAGGAATACCTAGAACATATATGAAGACAAACATAGTTTCTACCCTCAGTGAGTTAGAGTAATATATCCACAATTAAAATTTGGCATCAAATGCTTTAAAGGGTAAAGATAAGGGTGTAATGGTTCCATAGAGAAAGTGACTAAATGCCCCCAGAGTGAGAGACTGAAGAGGAAGTCTATTAAAGGAACTGACATTCCATCTAAGAATCAAAGAAATAAGTAGAAGCCTCACAAATGTCTACACAGGAAGGGGCCTGATGGCCAGAAAGAACAGTATATACAAAAACCCAGAGTTATGGGACAACGGCAGTACCTGCTTAGGGTCTACCCAACAGTTCCACCTGTCTAAGGCAGAGGGGGTCTTGGTGGAGTCTGGAGTACCATGGGGGAGCAGAGAGAGAATTGGGAGTAGAGGGGGATTGATGAGTAAGTTGCAGAGGAGGGAAAGTATGTGATAAAGTGCACAAAGCTGGAAATCTGTAGGTCTATCAATGATCATATGGGAAGGGCCTACATGCCCTGGTAGAAAATGTGGCTTTTATCTCTAATGCACTGGAACAAAAACAGACTTAAGCTTGTGAGTGGCATTCATTGCATGAATATAAGGGGTTAATGCAGGGAAATTGATTAAGAAATGGCCATCATAATCTAATTGAGAGATGATTATGGAGGAGATAGCAGTGGGAGAAGAAAGGTAAGAATAAATTATAGCGAAAAGGATGTATGACAAGGAGCCAAGCAGGGCTGAGCTTTGGTACTGAAAGGAGCTAAACAGTCTATGTCTATGGCAGAGATTGTAACTCAAATGCCTTCAAAGATAAGACAGATAAATGTCTGCTCTAGTGGTGATATAGAGAGTGGTAGAGACTGTGGTAAAGAGTGGGTGGAGGCCCCCACCTAAAGACATCCATGTGGACATCATTTTACAATATTGGTTGAAGGAAAGTTCTATACGATATGCCTGAATCCTAGGACATGAGTTTAATTGACAGTGATTCTAACCTTGGCTACTCACTTGAATCATTAGAAAAGCTTAACTCAAACTCTGCCCTCACCTCTCAAATGTTAATGGCCACAGAACGCAGTCTGCATGTGGATATATTTTTTAAAAACTATCCAGATGATTCTCAGGACCGGTCAGGGGTGAATACCACCCGTTGGCAACAATGACTCCTAGTTTTTTAGCTTGAATAACTTGGATAGGTGGAAATATCAATTATTAGGAAAAATAATACAAAGGGCTGAAGACATTTTGTGCCATAAAAGTTAATGTGGGCTACAAATATATTGAGTGAAAGAAATTAGTTATCTGTGTTAAGTCAGATGACAGTTACGAAGAAGAGTCCAGAGACATTTTACATTCTACTTCTTCAGTCTTTTCAAATATCGCAATTAACCAACCACCAGGGCAGGGCTCCCGAATTATTCAATATCTTAAATGCAATGTGAAGAGATTATCTAATTAAAAAAAATACTTGAGATAGCCAGGACATTCTGAAGTTTTTGATTTAAGGTGTATGAACATCGTGTATAAATTTCTAATGAGGAATTTATATTATGATATCTTAAGAAAATTATAGCATTGTCTTGGCCACACAAACAATTTATTCTATTTCCAATGTAACTTGGAAATAGAATAAGGTCTTCTTTTAAGACATTTGTGTGCATAGTTGTTTATACCTATAAAGGATTCCCGGACCATTGAGTGCTGGAGGAGACTGACCAACATTTCTTAATTTATATGTGGCTCTACATTCCACAGTCCCCATCTATTCATCTAAAATACGCATAGCTGTGGTCTCTAGACTGCTGAATTCATGTCCTTTTGGACAATAATTAGTTCTTTTAGGTTAGATAAGAATGTATTCTAAAATATTTGTCTTTTAATACGAGCGTATTCTGCAAGATTATTTTGATCTATAAAATATTTCATTAGAAACTGTCATCCTGGAATGAAATCAGCATGCTACAAGCTAACTTCTGCCAGAGCAAATTGCTCAATGTCCACAACCCCTCTAGTATGGTGAACTTATTTTGCCTGCTCACCAGGGGCCATTTATGTTAGCAACAATTTGGTGAATGGTATCTTGGTAATCCAGGAAAAGTTAAATTATGGTTGTAAGTTTCTTCTAAGAAAATGTAATGTTCACTGTATTATTATATTCATTACAAGGCTACAAGTTTATACACTACACTGATTATATTTATAAAATAAGTTATTACCTTTTATATGGGAAAAAACAAAGTTAATTCAAAAATAAACATTAACTAACATGTCAGCACTTATACTTAAAATCAAAATAAGTACTCATTGCTAGGTTAATGATTAAAGGGCTTTCGCTGCAGCTCTGTGAAACCATCCCCTTTTTTCTCTAATGAAAAACATCAAACAAAATAAGTAGATAGACAAAAAAGGAACAAAAGTTACCTTTGCCTTATGAGTTAAAATCACTTAGATAATGTGGATGACTACAAAAAATTAATTTTTTATGAAAAAAGATAAGAATTGAAACATTAATTCTTTGACACTTTAAAAATGATTAGCATTTTATATGAAATTATTTTGGAAATGTATGTTCTCTGGGATTCACATTCTTCTGTTTCCTGTTTTCCATTTGATGATTAAATCATCTAGGTATGAGACTTTGGGCTTTTCCAATGACTTCACACTCCTAAAACCTTTTAGAATATCATATGAAGGAAGAAAAAAATAGACACAATAGGATGTGATTTCGCTTCTATAATCATCAAAATTTTTATCTCCCCCTAAAATACACCAGCTTCAGCATAATGAATATTTTTAAACTCAGATATATGCTGGTTTGTCTATAACCATTGCAAGTTGGTATTACTTTGGATATATTGTATCTTTTCTTTTAAGAATTCAAAATGCTTTGATAACAATTTAAATTGCTAATTATCCATTATAACCATAACTGATATGAAATGTGGCATATATATATATAAAAGATATATTTAAGTACATACATGAACAGTTATAAAACCACATTTACTTTCAATGAACTGCTTGGGAATAAAAAGTAGGCATTATTCTACTTGGATGAGGAAACTAAGAGGTAAAACAAAATCTTTTCATAATCACACAGAAAAAATGTGGAAAAAAAGAAACTATCTGAAGCCCATTTCAGTGTGGAATAGCTAAAACTCCATTTTCTCTTTCTTAAAAAATATTCACTTTCCCAAAATATATTTGGTCTATTCAGAAAATATATTCAGGTACTAATCTTTAGCCCAGCTTTTGAGAAATTTATTTTAAAGCTCAGCCAAATTCAGTGTTTTAATTATGCAAGACTCACTAGTTTAATAAACCCACTCTACAGCCCACTGCTCAAAGTCTTTAACAGCAGGATTCTAATAGAGCCAGGTCCAAAATGGAAATGGTACCATCTGCAGCACTACATTCACTCCAGCAGCACTCCTATTAAATTAATAGTACAGTGTGCAAGATAAAATAGCAGAGACGCCAATCGTGTGGAACCAGTTGAGTTTCTGTTTAACCTCCAGCAGATAGAAACACACAGCTAGCTTGGTCATGGCTAGTCAATCCATACCTAAGAGCTGTGTCCAATTTCCTTGACCAAAGGACTTGAGAACCAAAAAAATCAAGGGAAAAATAAGAATACATTAGTTCCCTAACTACAAATATAAATAGGTTTCAATTACTCCATTGAATGTCCCTGATTGTATAAGGACTGGCTGACTAATCGGAAATGAATTCAAACACTAGGATTAAAGATATAAAGTATGAAGAATGATATGAGTTCATCACAAAAAAAAGTACATGAATTATACATTTTTTTAAAAAAATGATATTTTAATATAGATTTATATATTGGTATAATTTTAGGTTAATTAGAACTACTATTATTTGAAACTTTACTATTTTCAACTGATATTTACTGTAGGTAATTTTACACTAGTAGTATTGTCATAATAAATATTAGACAATATTTGATTTTCATCCCAGAAAAATAATTTTACTTTCTGTCTGTATCACACAATAATAGTAATTATGACATTTTTATTTTTGCTCTGGCTTGTGCAAACTAATGTGAGACTTACCACTGGAGAATCCTAGGCATTTTTAGAAATACGTCATTTTGAATGATTTTGCTTCCTATATATTTCTTTAAAGTTTTTTTGATTACATGAGCCACCTCCAGAAAAGTGATGCTTGTAAGATAAGGAACACAAGTGTTGGCCATTTTTAATATGGCTGTAATGCAAGACTGTAGTTACTAGATTCAGTTCAGATGAAAGGAATAGTAAGTATCACGTCACTGTTTATCTTCTCCTTAAGGCTATGCAAGAAAGCTGGGAGGCCGTGGCAGTATGCAGTGAGACAACGTAATGATTGCATTTCTACATTAGAGATCTTAAAGATATTTCATGGCATAAAAAAATTCAAATTTAAAAAAATTAAACTCTGATTTATTTTAGAAAGTTATTAAAAGCAGGAAAAATATTTGCTAGTAAGTCAAAAACTATGTTTGTGGTATTATCTTACCTAATAAACATCAGTTGTAAATAACTTAAAAATTGTCATACATTTTAAAGTTAATTTGATTCCAATCATTAAATATTATTTATATATTGATGCCTGAAGTTAAATGGGAAGTAAAGGTACTTATTTATTCCTTTTTTTTTTTTTTTATGTCTACAACACCTGGTCTTTCTAGGTGGTCTCCCATCCAAGTACTAACCAGGCCTGACCCTGCTTAGCTTCCGAGATCAGACGAGATTGGGTGTGTTCAGAATGGCATGGCCATAGACTAAGGTACTTATTTAAACACTCGAAAATTAAAACAAAATAAGTAAACAAACTAAACAAGAAAACTTTCCTTTCTCCCATATAAATGTACAAAATATATACACTAAATAAGAAAAAAAACATAAAATTAAACACTCACCTTTAGTTTGTATTTTTCTTTCAGGTTTCTCCGGCTTTTCAGTTTTTTCTTTGCGTATTTCTAAGGAAAAATAAAATTTATAATTTAAAAGCTCTTTGTAAATATAAGCCATAACTATGACTTAAATTTTTTAATTCCACCATGAAAACTAAATTATTATCTCTAAGAAGCTTATAGATTGATCTAAAATAAAAGAGTTTGTAACATATTGCTAAGTCACTCATTTTTTGAAATAAGGAAAAAAATCCGAGTTACCTCAAAATTAGTTATTTGAAAATGCTTAAAAACTTACATGAATGGAGATAATTGTCACTGTTTTTAGTGCTAAAATCGATCACAATTTATAATCATGTTTTATATTAATTACTTTCAATACAAATTAAGAATCCTTGGTAAGAATGTCATTTAGATTTAGGAAGATTTAGTTTTTACATATTAAATTAAGAATTTGTGAAATGAACTATAACAACCGTCTAATAGGAAACATAATTCAGAAGTAGTGACTCTAAGCTATATTTATAATCAGAATTTGTTAATGCATTTAACCAATTACTGCATGCAAATATGACACATTTCATGAAATAAGTTAGTTGTTAATTTTTTTCTAAATATCAGGTTTTAACAAATGTAGTTAATTTGCTGCTAGCTTCAGTATATATACATTGACAAGGCTTAGAAAAAGAAGTTAATTCTGAATTTATAGTTCATTTGGATAGAAGTAAATTTAAGATTAGAGTTTACAAATATGATTACTACCTTTGAAAAGTGACTTGATCATAATACCATGGTTTTTCTTATAAAAATGTTAATAATGTTTGTTTATTTATTTATCTATCACTTCATTCCACAGATAGCTGAGATGGTGTTAATTACTGTATACATTTTAAATTCTCTATTTGTAAATTTGACTGGATTTTTAAAATTTTTCTGCAAGTCTATAATCAAGACTGACCATAAGAAAATCTGAAATATCTTCAGAAAAGACAGTTACTGACTTTTGTTCACCTGTTGAGATAATCACTACTGGGAAGATTTCTTCTCCTCATCTTCCCCATTAATCTATCATCATACTATTTACAGGGCCACTCCTCCACCCTTATCCCATTTCCAACTTTATATATGACAATGAAGATACAGCAGAGTTAAGATACTCAATCACATTTCTCCAAGGTGCAAAAAAAGATCTACAAAGGCCTAAGGTACTTCCATCTGCCTCTCTTACCACATTTTTCTCTTCCCTGTATGTCTCCAAATCCTACTCCAAAGAAGTTTTCATCTTAGCATCATTGACTTTTTAAGATGTGTGAACCATTATTTGGAAGTGGAGTGGGGCTATTCTGTATACTCCATGGTATTTAGCAGCATCACTGGTCTCTACCTATTAGATGCTGACAGCCCCATCCCCAGTCATGACTATGAAAAATGTCTTTAGATATTGCCAAATGCCCCTGTAGGGCAAAATGACCCCCCAAAAATTTGTCCAGATGTCTCAGGACTACATTTCTATTGTTTACCTTATGCTCTTGGGTTTTATAGTATTTCTATAATGATGTAACAAGAATAGTGCTGCTCTGTATTCAGTCATATAGATCAACATGTATGGGAACTTTTTATCAGCTTTTTAAGAAACGTACTCTGTCTGCAAAGGCACAATAAAGTTGCATTTTATATACCATAGGTAATTAGCTAACAATAAACCTCATTTAAACACACTCAGAACTTATATCTTTCGGGCTATTCTAAAGATACAAGATAACCAGCTTAATCACTCTTTGTCACTAACTATACCACTGTCTAATGCATAGTCACTAGACACACGCATATTAAGGAAATAATGTGGTTAGTCTAAATTGAGATGTACTACAAGAGTAAGTACATACTGGATTATGTACATTTAGTATAAAAAAGACTGTAAAATATCTCAATTATTTTATATTAATTACATGCGGAATTATATTATTTTGGACATATTGATTGTGATGGTTTTATTTATGTATTGACTGGACTAGACAACTATCCCAAATCATTCAAATAAACACTAATCTAAGAGTTGCTGAAAATATTTTGCAGATCTAATTAAAGGCCCGAGTCCATTTACTTTCAATAAGAAGAGGATTCTGTGTCATCTGCGTAGACTTGTTTGATTCTATTGGAAGGCCTTAAAAACAGGGCTAAGGTTTCCCAAGGAAAGGGAAGAAATTCTGTCTGTGGAGGACAATTTTGGTCTCTGACCATAGGCTCAAGTTTGCCTGTGATCTTCTCTTCCACAATCACATAGGCCAATTTCTTGTAATAATATCTTAATATTTAAATATGTCTGCATAATCTCCTGCTGGTTCCGCTTCTCTTGGCGAGCCCTGATGGAAACCCTGATTTCATTAAGTAAGACATGCTATTAAAATTAATGTCATAGTATTGTTTTTACTTTTTGTAATGTAGCTACTCAAAAATTTTAAATTATATATTTGTCTCACATTATATTACTATTGTACAGTGCTGGTCTAGTCTTATGGGTGGGCAAATGATTTTTTTTACATGTTAGGTCATCCACAGGGATTTTTTTACATGTGAATTGAAAAACAAAATTGGAAATTCTCCCCTGCCAATACTATCCTGCTTCCTTCCTCCAGTTTAAACCAACAAAGGCTATGGAGAAGATAGGTTGCTCAGATAACTCAGACTAAAAAAGTAAGTAAAATGTCAAAGATTTAGAGTGAGTGGTCTTTAGATATGCTAAGGGAGTCACATTTAAGTGTTGACTTCTTATTCCAAGTAGGAATGAATTTGAATACACAAATGAAATGCAATATTTTAAATTAAAAAGTTACATGAAATGCTGCATTTATTGTGGGATGAGAAGACCTTAAAATGGTCATTCAGAATAAGATTTTTCCTTTAGAGGTAGGGGTGTGTGTGTGTGTGTGTGTGTGTGTGTGTGTGTGTGTGTGTGTGTATTCTGCAGACATCTGTTGGCCACTCAGACGAAGGCCATCTGCCTTGTTAATCCTATCAGAGCTTCCTAGCCTTATTTTAGGGAAATATGCTCTTTGGACAGAGTGGTGGTCTGGGAGACTAGACAGTCCTTATTGGTCCATGGAGGGGTTTCCTGCAAGGTAGGTGAAAGCTGTGCATCAGCGAACAGAGGAAAAAAGCAGTAGCAAGAGCTCCCTTGACTCTCCTTAGCTCTACCTCTTGTGCATGTATCAGCATCCTGTCGAAAGAGATTGGGCTCTAGATTGTAACCAGAACTGAAATGAGCAGAAGTTCATCCTGGAGGGAAAAAATAAAACAAAAGAAGACGAATCTCAAAAATATGGGAATCATGAACACCACACAGAAAAAGGAGGACGAAAACACAGTCCATCCATCATTTCCCAAATACACAGAAAGGAAAGTCACCCTAAAGTGGAAAGTAAGTTCTGGCATGTTGAAGAAATAAACTGAAAAAATGGCAGTATATTTCAGAACATTTATTTTTTACTCTATGGTAAATAGTGTACACACAATCCAGTTCTGTCATTCAGACCAATCCCAAAGATAAAACCCTAATTTTTTATTTTCCTGATTCTGTACTTCAGCCTAATATAAACCAAGACATCCCACTGCTCTGGGCAGATCCACTCGGATTTTCTGTATGTAGGGGTTTATGGATTAAACACACACACACACACACACACACACACACACACACACACACACACACGCACATCTCTACAGCTCACAGTGAACAGAATATGACTTACATGAACTATTTTTTGTTCAGGAACATCAATGACTGATTTTTTAACTGATAATCACTTGGAGACCATTATGATTTCTACAGAGACAAGTGTAGACAAGAACAATTAACCTTGTAAAGACATAAACACATCTACATTTCTCATAGAAGACAAAAGAAATTTATTTCTGATGACTCAAACTTAAGGGTAAGTTAAACATCTCTCTGCATGTTTTATTGCCATATGCAATTTCTTTGGAGATTGGATTGTATCACTAGTGTCACTGTTTGTGGCTATCAAATGTCTGAAGAATCCAGTAAAGCCTCTACACAGTGTGCCAGTTCTGTCTCCATACACTTCAGCCAGGAAATGATGACCATCGAGGTGCCTGTCTGACTAAGAACATACTACCAATTTAGAATTCAGAAGGATATTTTTCTCATAAGCAGATGATGCCTGATTTGTTCCTCTCAATTTCTCTTGCCAGCAAAGAACCATTTGTATAAGAACACAAAATTAAAAAATTCAAGTCAGTGAAATAGAAAATTATTGCCCATGGTTTTCAGCAAACTTCAAAGAAAAATATAGTTTCTTATGTTAATACTAGCTTTTAGTTATTTAATAATTTTCATAGGTGTATACTTCTACTTTGTGTAACATGACAATATTGTATGATAACATAAAATTGTATTTAATACTTAAACATGAACAATTCCTGGATACAAAGGACAAAGAAGAGAGTCAAAGCAGTCACTGTTCACCTCCAAATATATATGTGCTCTGCAGTTAGGTTAGAGTCCAATGTTTCTGAAAGTGTGTTCTCAGCATCAGACACTGGTTAGAAACATGGACCATTTGGGTAACAGCAAACCTTAAAGATTGTTTTGTGGTTTATAAAGGAACAGAAGTCAAAGTATCTTAATTCAGGTATGAGGCTGCCCATGGTCCTTAAAGGTACAAGTTTCAATTTGAATTTTGATAAAAGGGAAAATTAACATGGAAAAAGAATGACAATTATCTCAACATGTCAGGAGGCAATGAAGGAGATCTCTTTGTTCTACTAAGTCTTAGGAACCTTGCTTAGTCAGAATGAATAAGTTCTCCACTAATGTTTACTGTGTCAGTAATGGTAAAGGAAACCAAAAGAAAAAATTACTAGAAGGGCAAATAGCTTTCACAGAATGTAGGAAGTACATTCTGACTTCTTTTACTACTCCTGATTTCCCCTCTACCCCTTTTCTCACTACCTACAGGAAAATATTAGTGAATATGAGAAGTGGAGAAAAGAGTAGAAATCACCTTTTAGATGCATATCGTTATTCATCTCCCACTCTAAAACTA